TTTTCACTTCGGCCTTAGGTAATCTGTTTTGTTCCACTTTATAAAAAGAAGGAGCCAGTGCACGATGTGATTAGCTAAGATGAATATCCGAAAACTTAGCTGAGCTAGGAGTGGTCCGAGCGTCGATAGCAAAAGATGCACAGCTTCAGGGGGAAGTCGTACTTAAGTAAGAAGCTAGCCTTGTGTAGCAGCTGCAGTTTTGATTGGCGGATAAGCTGTGGCTTGTAGCCACTATGACCTAATCTGGCACAAGTGCACAGCACTGAGGGAGTACATAGTACGTATCGTTTCTATCCTAGCAGGGTCAAGCAGGGCCGACCTAACTAACAGCTTTCCAAATCCATCACGTCTCGAAATCCTAAACCCAACTTTCTGCCATCTGCAACTGAACGATAGCGAAAACGTCGACATCCTTTAATACGCGACAACACGGTCCAAAATCATACGGCGCGGCGGTTAATTCAACTCCACTGCGTCGTATTTCTTTTCGAGTCAAGTCATACGTATAATCTTGATTCTCTTCGCTCATTTATTGGCCCTATTTAATTCTTTTTTTTTCTTTAATTACCCACCGACAAGAGCTCTTTTCCGATCCCAACCTATCGCGACGATTCGAAAATCCGACTTTTTGCGAACCAAATTCAGCTCTAACACGCGGACGCTCCCTCCCGTTTGATATATGGGACGTTGAGCCAATTGATTTTCCGCCGTCGCATCTTCCGTCTCGGGTACAAGGCCGTATCTCAAAGTGGTTCTCGAAGCGCAGATGCGCATGTCGAAAAGACGGCCTGAAACTAAAACGGTGAAGACGGTAGCGAGGGTTGAATACCGTCTGTTTTGGTGAACCCGGAAATCCACTACCCATGAGCTGGCAACAAGTGTCCGCGATGGGAGCTGGGAATGGGTCTGGTATGCAGGGTGCGGGTGTTGGTGGAGGCCAGGAGATGCCAGGAGGCGGAGGTCCTGCTAATCCGGGGAATCAGCCGCATGCCACGGAGTACACGTTACAAGGTAGGATTTAGCATCTGATTCATATCTCGAACCTGTTTGGCTAATATGCGGTCTTAAATAGGTGTTATGCGCTTTCTTCAAACCGAGTGGCATCGACACGAGCGAGATAGAAACGCCTGGGAAATCGAACGCCAGGAGATGAAAGGTAGAATAGCTGCTCTCGAAGGTTCAGCTAGGAGAGCGGACGCTACACAGAAGGCATTGAAACGATATGTCACGATTCTAGAGAAGAAGGTTAAGGACCAAGCTGCCCAGTTAAAGGTTGCCTCTTCGACTCCTTCCGCCGCCGACCATTCTGTGAAGCCACCGCAGAAGATCGACAGGGCCGCCTTGATACAAGAGAAGCTGAAATGTGCGCATAATTCCAGTTGGTTCCTTTTATATGCAGGGCACCTACGACCATGTAATACTGACTATAACTACAGCGTCGAGCGAGAAGCCGAATGAGTCGATCCCTGGCCTGGAGGGTCGGATTCTCCCGAGCGAGCATGCACAGGAGGATGAGGAGCGCGAGAATCTAAGGGTCTTCTTGGATCAGTGTCAAGCAGAATTCACCTATCTGATGGTGACCCCCGCTAATCCTATGCCTCCTCGGGAATCTCCGCCCTTGCCGATGATTGACGATTTAAGGGAAGGAGATTTTGGGATGCCCATTTCCCAGCAACCTCTTGATGCGGCCTTCCAGGCGTTGAGGCTTAATCAAAACCATGTTAAAGAACAAGGCTCCCGCCCGGGTGCAGGAAATGGGAATAATCACCACATGCCGATGATGCAGCAGGGCAATTCGGTCAATATGCAACCAAAGAACGCAGATCTACAATCCGCACCTATGGTCCGGTCAGGGGAGGGTCCTGGTCCGATGTACTCGCATCCCAATGAGTGGCCTAACTCGGGACAGCCAGTATCTCGTATGCAGGAAGATATGAACCCGAAGCTTAATCATTCGAACGAATCCGTGCGGACCGAGTTTAATGAAGGCCAGCCAGAGAAACGTGGGCCGGGTGACGGAGATGCCTGGGATTTTGGTGAAGGAACCTTTCCCGACCCAGCATCCGCACAACCTCTACAACATCTACAGCCTCTCACGCACCGTCCAGATACCGATGTTTTCCCTAACGCAGAAAATCTCCCCAAGTCTCCCAATCGGGGTCCCACTTCCCACAGGCGGAAGACGTCTATGTCCCGTAGGAAGAGCTCCGAGCACGAACTTTCCCTCAACGGAATGGCGCAGAAAGCAGAAAATGGCAGTTTCAAGTTGCGGTTTGGTCTACGTGGACACCTTAACACGGTCCGCACTGTAATATTCTCGGGGGGCGGAAGCCCGGGCGAGCCGGAGATCTGTACTGCCGGTGACGACGGACTGATCAAGCGCTTTCACATACCGCGCGAGAATCCAAGCCATCTTGGAGGTATATCATCCGATCTTGATGTGCCAGCCGACTTTACCCACCGTGGACATACCGGTGCCGTGTTATCGCTGACGTCTTGGTCGCCATCACCCAATTTCTCTACTGGTGGTCGTGCTCAGGGTGATGGTTGGATCTTCTCGGGTGGGCAGGATGCAACCATTAGAGTATGGGAACGGGGCAGGGTAGATCCCAAAGCGACGCTCGATGGTCACAGCGACGCCGTCTGGGCTATTTGCGTACTACCTGCGACACTCGGGGCGGTCTTCGGGTCCTCGAGTCCCTACGGATCCGCAGACCGAATTTTGGTTGTTTCGGGAGCGGCTGATGGTGCCGTGAAAATTTGGGCTGTTAGTGCGCCGCCGCAACTTACATCGCCACAACCCGGTCCGCCTCGACGTGGCGCAGGAAGCGGCCGAGTCAGGGGTAACTCGATGAGTTCCGGATCACAGTTCCCGAGCTCACCCCAACCTAACATGGCCTCAAACGTGCCGTTCAACTACACGCTTATTCATGATATTCGCCGGTCTAATGGCTCGCGTGCCTCGCCTACGTGCATTACTCCGTTGTCGGCAAGTGGAGAACAATTCGTAGTTAGTTATTCGGATGCTGCTATTATGGTGTTCGACACAAGAACTGGCGAGGAGATTGGTTCCATGGCCAGCCTTGAGACTTATGATAACACGATTGGCACGAGCGTCAACGCTGTCGTTGCGACTACGGCAGGTCTGGACCAAGGCTCTGGACCGGGGATGGGCGACGAGGATACAAGTGGCCCCACCGGCGGTGGTGGTACGGCTGGTAGTGGTGTTGAGGGTGTGATTATTTCCGGGCACGAAGACCGCTTCATCAGGTTCTTCGATGCCAACAGCGGTAAGTTTACCGAGTTCTCCTGATATGAATGTACCTCGCTAATTTGTTCAAAAGGTCAATGCACCTACAACATGCTCGCCCACCCGGCGTCCATCTCGTCACTATCCCTCAGTCCCGACGGCCGTGAGCTCGTGTCTGCTGGCCACGACGCAAGCCTTCGTTTCTGGTCTCTAGAAAAGCGATCCTGCACCCAAGAGATCACTAGCCACCGGATCATGAGGGGCGAGGGTGTATGTGCCGTCGTCTGGAGTCAGGACGGCCGATGGGTTGTTAGCGGAGGAGGCGATGGGATTGTAAAGGTCTTTGCGCGGTAAACCAAGCTTAGCCGCCTAACTGTGCTTTTTCGTGGGGATCAGGCGAAGGGTTAATGTTGGTAATGAAGTCAAGTGCACCTAGCTAAGGAGTTGGTGGGAAACTTATTCTGCGGCAGAAAGCATCCCGCTACTACTAGACGGATAATCATCCCCTCATGGCGATGCGATGCGATGCGATCATCCATTACACACAGAAACTCAAGACACATAAGATGATGCATTGTTCGATTTGTTTTGTTATTGCCTTCTTTTTTGGAGAGAGAGATGTTGGTCATTGCATGCATGGTAGGGGGTTCACGATTTGTTTCTTTGCGGCCGCGTTTGAGCAGAGCAGAGCAGGCGCAGAGCAGAGCAGAGCATAGTAGCGGCTCGTGTATAAAAGAGAAGAAAAATTACTCCGAGATACTTCTGAATAATTGATGGATGGTTGGTCGGGAAGACGGCGTTGTCGTGCCGCGCTATAAGAGCCTGAGGGCAAGCAAGCGAGCAAGCAAATTATAGGGTTGGGGTTGTGGCAGATCTATCTATCTTCCTCCGCATCGAGTGAAAAGGCTAGGATAGGATAGGATGGATGGAAAGATGTAGTCCGGCTTACCTGGTATTTATGTTGTTAGTCGAGGCTGAGGTTGTTAAGGCGTGATTGATGAGCCGGATAGCTTCATGCCGGGGGCTGTTATTGATGCAAGCACCTGGGGGGCAACCAAGGTGGGAGTGGAAGAATGGCTAGATGAGGCTGAACCGGACTTAACGGGACCGAATTGCAGAATTCTTATTGGGATGTAGATACCATACGAGAGCATTGCCTTGCTTGCCAGCTATACTTGCGAAGCGCGCGCAGCACCTGGCAGCAAGCACTTCTGTGTAAAAATTTGCCAAGAAGAAGAGAGAATTGAGAGCTGAGAGTTGCATTTGCTACTTGTGGGATCTGATATTCATTTCCCTGATAGTCTTGATTCACATATATCCTATTGAAAGGTTGACGGCTTCTGTACGATGAAGGGTTGTGCTTAGGCGGCGGCGGCGGCGGCTTGTCTTAAGTTTGGAGAGGTACCTACGTGTCGGTATATGAGCTCTAAATACTTTAGCTACCTACCTAGTACATACTAGGCACCTAGTTAAAGATCCATGGATAGAATATAGGAAGCCGTAGCAAGACGGACAAGAGAGTAATAGGGTAAGAAATACATATTCCGTAGGGCGTGGTGAACCGACCGAAGTTTGAAAGTCTATTGTCAAACGCGACCACTGAGAAGTAGTGGCTTATAAGCTTAAAGCATACCACCAATAGGAAGGGTTTGGTTTCCATGTAGTGGGGCTCTACAACAGTTTGTCAGTGGCTTGCCGCTAGGGATATAGAATACAATAGCAGATGAATCTGTCATCCAATAACAATTCATCCGAATTGGTGTAGTGGCTAACATTTGACGCTCTCAAGATTCAATCTACAGATCCGTCAAGCCCGGGGTTCGATTCCCCGATTCGGAGTTCCTCTTTTATCTTTTTTTCCTCGGTATCTCTCTTGATGTCTATTATCTTAGAAGATCAAAATTTACTTTTCGCAGTGGTGGGGCTGTAGAAATGGTTTTAAGCTTTTTTTGACAGTCATAGACTGTCTTTCGAACTTAGAAGAAACAACATCATTTACCCCCTCTGACACAGTGTAAATATGTTAACGTCCAAGTATACCCTCGGGTCGGAATCCCTCAATATGACTCAACCCTGTGTTGTAAAAGCCAGATGTAAGTAAGCGCGGTGACCTTTAAGAGGGATACACATCCTACGTTCAGACCTAGACTCATAAAGGCACAAATATTGGAAATGACAATCATGGTATAACTCGTCTTCATATTTCAACTCTGCAACAGCTCTGATGCTATGCTAACCATCCTGCCCATTCACTGACTCATCCATCACACCTTTAGACTCCTTCACCCAGTACTCACTTCGCTTCGCCCACCTCATCATCTCTTATCTTCTTCGCAAAGCACCGAATTCACCTGTGCGTCTCTCCCCTATCCACCCATCATCATCCACGCGACCGTCCAACGCGGTCATCTCAGTTTTGGTACTTGTGTATTGAAATGTGTAATGAAAATAAAATAAAAAGCCCGTGCTGGGAGGGGGTATCATGGCATGCATGCATGGGCCGAATCTCTATCGATCGTCGTACAAAGGAGAGTTGCTAGTGCTAAGCAAAGTCTCAAGAAAAAAAAAGGAGAGAAAATGTATAAAATCAAATCAAACCACCAAGCTAACCGCCCGCCTGTGATATGGGATATCGATGCAAGAAGCAAGCCGCCAGCCGCTTTGGTATAGGTATACTCCTGGTTTCCTTATTCCTTTCATCCTCCTATCCCTCCTGTCTCTCCTATCTCTTATATTTCTCTTATCAACAGTCAGCCCTTTAGTAATGGCGATCCTGTTTCGGAAATTCATCGCAGGTCAACATCAACATTCACCCTAACCCAAACGACGCCTCCTCCTCAGCCGGCATGGGCGTCCGAACACTCAGCACCCCCGCATCATCACCACCCTCCTCTTCTCCACTCATGTCCAGGGCGCTCAGACCAGCGACACTACTACTCTCGCTATCCCTTGCAGAGGGCGTATGAGCCGGACTCGGAAGCGCCGAAGCACTGGCCTCCGTGACAAGTGCAGGCACCGACGGACCCTTCTGCGCCCTCCTTGCGGCGCTGCGCTCCTCGCGCTCCCGGGCCATCTGCTTATCCGCCTCGATAGCCTTAGCGCGGCGCTCCTCGACGTCTTCTCTTTTGACCACCTTCCTCAGTCCTTCGGAAGCCTGAATCAGGCCGTCGATGCTGATGGCGTGGTTGGTCATCTGGTGGTTGATGTACGTGTAGATGGCGGCGGGGGTATCGCATTGCAGGAGCTGACGCTCGTTGAGCTTGAGGAGGGCGAGGGCGACTTGGAACAGGAAGGTGCTGCCGTCGTTGATGCAGAGAACCACGTCCCAGACGCGGAACAGGGCCTCGGCTGACAGGCAGTCGGTGAAAACGCTGAGGAACCACTGGAAGGTCAAGGCCTCGAGTTCGATGCTGAGCGCTTCCAGGTGCTGCGAGAGTTTCGGCAGTACCTGGCTGACGTACTGCCGCAGCACGTGCTGGTCCGCCCGCGATGCCATTAAGCTGTGGTCGTAATATCCCTGGGGCAAGATACGCTCGATAATCGACACAAAGACCCAGAAAGCGTCCTCAGCAGAGGGCATAATGAGGAGTAAGTTTGCCGCGATCAGGTTCATCCCTTGGCAATACCCAACCTCGGGGTTGTGCCTAGCATACGCCCGGAGAACTTCGTTCAGCTTGGCCACACCAGGGCCCTTGCGGAAGAATATGTTGTCCGTAAGTGTGCGATGGATATCCATCTCGATCTGCGAGATCACGACCGAATCGTCAGCCTCACTAGGTCGCGAGACAAGATCCTTGTAGTAGCCCGGCGTTCGCTTAGAAAGAGCACCAGAGCATTCCGCCCAGATCTTCGGACGATTCACGACGGGGATGCCGCCGAGCACCAGATTCCGGAACTCGTTCCACTTCGCGCGCCCGACTTTTCCTTTGACGCCGAGATCCGCTATGCCGATGGTCTCGCCGTCGGGTAGCTTGGCCTCCGGAATCATGACGGGGGCTGATTGGAATCGAGCTTCGGCAGCGGCGGCAGCAGTAGCAGCCGCAGCTTCGCCCTCACGCCGACGCTCCGCACGGACTTTTCGTAGAAACTCGTTCCAGCGCACGGATTTTTCTCTCTGCAGGGTATCGTGGACATCGCTTAACTGTTTCAGTAGAAGCTTGACAGGCTCCACATCCTCATGCACCAATGTTGCAGTAGGTGAATCTGCCTCTGGTTGGGCCGGGCTCGATTCTCTATCGAGAGCCGAAGTAGTAGTGCTCGCAGATGGGACAAATCCACGTTCATCCGGGTTGATCAGTCCTGGAGATCTAGATTGCTCATTCCCTTCAAGAACCTGTATGTTTGAGGTTGTAATAGAGGGTGTATGTGAAAGGAGTTCCGTAGGGAATGTAGCAATCTTGAGATAATCCTGCCATCGCTTAGCTCTCCCCTGTTCAACAGGGCTCTCGATCGAGGTCGGACTGTCTGGACGATCATCGTTCCCAGTATTCCCAGTCGAACCCGCGTCTTCCTCCAGCAGGCTAGGCGAGAGATTAGACCTTCCACCAGAAAGCATTTCGTGTCCTCTCTTCATCTGGAGGGCCACCTGCGCTGCTTCGCGTTGTCTCTTCTTTCGTCGCTGATCATAAATGAAGCCAAAGCGATCGGTTAGGTATTCGCCATCATTGTAGTTATTATATAATTGTGACAGAGCTGGTGGTTGAGCCTCGGGAGAAAATATGGTATCCATTTCAACGGGTCCAGAGTTATCTGACCTCATCGCTGACGGGCTCTCTGGGCCGACCCCCATACCCTCCCATCTCTCTCGGGGTCGCGAAAGCTGTACATTCCCAGGTTTTGGGGTGGCTCGTCGCATCGACATGAGCGCTTTGGGTCCTCCTTGTGTGGATACGGCCCGGTTCGAAGCACCTGTCCTGGTACTAGCATTGGATGATGCTCTTACAGAGCCGCCTTGGCCCGCCGAATTTGATCTCCCCCTAACAGAATCAGAATCGCGGATCGAGGACGCCTTCCCGGCTACCAACTGCAAAGCCATACTAGCAAACGATGCCGAGGGTTTCCTGGTTGTTTGTCCAGAGTAGATGCTAGAAGCGCGACTAGAACTTTGAGCAGATCCAACATCCGGCGGGGTGAAAAGATCCTCTTGGAGTGCAGGCCTGCGATCTCCCGGCGTTGGTATGCGTACCACCGTCTTTGCCGCCTCCTCGTTAATGCTCCCTGCTCTGCTTGTCTTTCTACTATTGCCACCCCACAAGTATTCTTTCCAGGCCTTCATAGTCCCCTTATTAGTAGCATTGTCCCTCGGAACAGACAGGCTGCTGGCTCTAACCGTGCCATCGATTATCTCGTTAATGCCCAGAGCTTTGTAAGTCATTGAATCGTGCATCGCATCACTCATCATGCCAGAGACATCCCCATTTGAGCCACATTTTATCTTTTCCTGTGCTTGGAGCTCTGCCTCCACCGATCGAAGCTTTGTCTCGAGGTCTAAATTTGATAAACCACATTCAAGTATTATCTTTCTTAGCGCTCTTTCTCTCTCGTCTGCTTTCCTTCTTAATCTAGCAATTTCGAGGTCGCGATGCGCCAGGTCCTCGGCGATCTGGCGCACAAGGTTCACGGCTCCATGTTTCGTAATCAGACGTTCAATATGCTGGTCGTTAGCATGGTGGATGGCACCGGGTATCTTTTGGGTGGTTACGGGGGTGTCATCGAATAGCGCATTTCGCGGGGTCTTCTGAGTCTCGGATGACGTTAAGGCGTCAACAATAGAAGTCCTAGGTAAGCGTTTAGATGGTTTCCGCTCGATATTGATCGTAGGAGCATTGGACTCGGGAGTAGTAAATGAAGCTTCGTATCGTGGGGATTGGGGCGAAAAGGAGGGAAAGGAGGTTAGCGACTTGTCAGAAGCGGCGATAGATGAAGCTGAGCTTGAAGGCTGCGAAATCAATTTTCTAGGTTTCGACTTTGCGCGAGTCGAGTGAGCCGAATGAGCTGAATGAGCTCGTGCCTTTGCTGAGGCTGCAGAGAGTTGTGACGTCGATCGCTCCAGGGGCGCAGTTGACTCGGAATCCATATTGTCCTCCTAGGAATCATGGTCTACCTCTCTCCTCTTTTTCTCTTGCTCGTATATGACCTGTCTTTAGCTTTCTTTCGATTTATCGTTTGCTTTAATGTAATCGTTTATATCGGGTAGCCAAATGGTACAGGTCTAGGACATGGGTTGATGAGTGAGCAACGAACGACGAAGAGTGGTAGTAAGGCAGAGTTTCCAAAAGTGAGGATGATGATGCAGTCGTGATGATACGCCCTCGATACGATTATGGATATGAGATATGGGGTTATGGGTTATGGTTTATGCAAAGAATGCCGATACAAGTAAAAACTGGGGAATATAGATGCATGTGGCATGTCCAAAAATGCATGTTTCATGGATTATGGGTTATGGATCATGGATTATATTAAGTATAGTTCGCTAATTACAGCATGGATTCCATCTTATTCTCCATTCCAACTCGTTCCTTCACACGTCTCCCAATAATAAATGTTCATTGCTACCTGCCTTACGTTGTACATTTTGCTGGGGTCTCTTATCGTTATCGGCTATCCTCCGTCATCTAACGCAATTAACCGAGAATTAGCCCGAAACACTCCGCTTGACTTAGAAACTCCAAATGCTCCCCCTTTTTTACTCCTCACCACCGTTCACCCACTAACATCATGGATTTGATACAGACTTTGCCATTAGGGAACACAAAACGTATAATACAATTCTTCGCTGATCCTGTAACTTATCTATCCTCCTCAAAAATTTATACAAATTCCGGAATCCGTCCTCT